CTGCCGTGACAGACCCCATCCCACCCCCACACCAAGCCACAGCACACAGATGCTCCCATTCCACATCCCAAGCAACTGTGAGTGTCAGACAGTGACCCGACCTTGTGCCCCGATGGCCCTGCTGACAGACAGACATCTACTGCAGATGCCAAGACAGGAATGGCATGGATGATGATAAAAGGAGGATCTTGCTCTGTATGGCCCCAAGCAGGACAGCCCAGTAATACCAGTTATGGCTGTGTTTGGAGTGGGAGCAGCTGCTGCCAGCACGAGTTACTGGGCTATGTTAAAGGGAGGATGTCTCTGAGCAGCCCCAGCACTGCTCCCCACCTCAGCCTTGGGATGCCCCCACTAATGTTAACAGCAAGAAGTGCAGGGCTGGTAGTGTGGAATCATCATGCCTGGGATGTTCTGGGGAGGGACACAGCCACACCACTGCAGGCCACTGGGATGGTCTCAGTGGAAGATCATGGAATCCTAGGTTTGGGTCAGAAGGTCATCTAGTCCAATCTCCCACTGTGAGCAGGGACATCTTTAATTAGATCAGGTTGCTCCAAGCCCTGGCCTTGAATGTTTCCACACATGGGACTTCCACCACCTCTCTGAGCAACCTGTACCAGGGTTTTACCACACACACTGCAAAATACTTCTTGTATCTAATCTAAATCAACGTTCCTTTTAGCTTAAAGCAATTTCCCCTTCTGTGTGCCTGAGCATGGTGGTTTGGAGACAGGCCTCCAAAACTGTGCACAAAAAATGACAGAACTACTCACAGGGGTAGACTCAGAATTAGGTGGAGGCATCCAAGCAGAGATGTCTTGGGACAATTTCCAAACAGGACACCAGGAGCAAGTCAGTGGTTTGGAATGATGCTGGGAGCCATCCTGAAGGGACTGAGTGAGGATGGTCTCCAAGTCAGAAGTTGAAATTTGTCCTTTGGTCTTTAGGAAAAGATTGGAGAGGAGGCGTTCAGCTGGGCATGTCTGTGCCAGTGCACACGTGTGCTGTGTATGTGCTACCCTGCACATTCCACTGGCAGCCCGAAGGGATCAGGAGCAAATTTCTCTCCTTTGCTCTAAACTCTGGCAGCTGAGCTGTTATCTGATCCTGCTGTAGATTGCTGTGCTTGGAGGCAAAAGACAGGGCAGAACATTCTCAGGGATACCCAAGTGTCCTAGGGTGATGTTATGATGCTTGTATCCCCATTCATGTGTTCTGTTAATGTTGGATATTCTGTTCTGTGCCTTTAAGACTGGCTCTGGAGAGGGAAAATTTTGTTTTGGTTTTCTTATCAGCCTGGCAGGACACAGAGACTGCAGCTTTTGCTTTTTCTGCTTTTGCTTTTCCTTTGCTCTCTCTCACTCTTGCTTGCTTCGCTTCTGCTTGCTTTGCTCATTAGCTAGTTTAGCTAAACTGTCCAAATTTCTTCCTGGACCATTTCTCCTTTCCTTTTACTGACCATTTTGAACCTGCTCTGGACTGGGACCTGGGAAACACCAAGATCCTGCACCTTGTGGCTGCAGCAGCTGGCCCAGCGCCGGAGGGACTGAGAACAGAGTGGCCACCCCCCCTCTAAGAGAGACTTTCTGAATTTGTCATCTCTTTTCAGAGTGTTGCCATCCGGTATTGTTCATTCTGTGTGCTGGGGGTGCTGTGCCTGTTAAATAAACAGGTTCTTTCCACTTCTCTCTGAGGAATCCTTCCCGAACCAGTTGTGGGGAGGGGCTGTGGGGGTTGGTTACTGGAGGGGCCCTCCTTTGGAAATTCTCTTCCAAATTTGCCCTAAACCAGGACACCAAGTAACTTCAGCATCCCTGCTAGGGCTGGGGTTTCAAACTAAACACCAGGCTGGGCTTCAAGGAACTGCTCCCAGCCAGAGGGGCAGGAAGGGGGCATGGGTGACAATGTGAGGGTTTAACCCAGCCCCACAAGGATCAGCTGCTGGTTCTCTCCAACCTCTGAGGTACCTGGGAGCCTTGATGACTTTTGCTGGGATGGGTGATGTGAGGCTTGGCACTAAGCAAAGGGTTTTGTTTCTAGCAGGTGGGAGACACTAGGGACAGAATTCAGTGAACATTTCCCAGGTGGGCAAGCTCCAGTTCTGCATTCTATCAGTCTTTTCTCCCTCTTGGTTGCCTCCATCCTGCAAAACTACACATTTTCAGAGAATCATAGAATGGTTTGTGTTGGAAAGGACCTTAAAGCTCATCTTGTTCCAATCCCCTGCCATGGGACAGGGACACCTTCCACTATCCCAGGTTGCTCCAAGCCCCATCCAACGTGGCCTGGAACACTTCCAGGGATCCAGGGGCAGCCACAGCTGCTCTGGGCAGTCTGTGCCAGGGCCTGCCCACCCTCTCAGCCAAGAGTTTCTTCTTACCTCATCTAACCCTGCCCTCTTTCAGTTTGAAACCATTCCCCCTTGTCCTGTCACTCCAGGCCCTTGTCCAAACTCCCTCCCCAGCTCTCTTGGAGACCTTGAGGGCACTGGAAGGGGCTTTAAGGTTTCCCTGGAGTCTTGTCCTCTCCAGGCTTAACAGCCTGAACTCCCCCAGCCTGTCTTCATAGGAGACAGCTCTGTGAGCACCATTTTGGTCAGTCAAGTCCTGGTTCTGCAGGGCTAACACAGCCCCAAGCTGCCCCAGAACCAGGCAGAGAGGCACAAAGCCAGGGCTGCACCAGCTCAGCCCTGACACCGTGCACAAGCTGTTCCCAGCAGTGCTAATCCAATTACAAAACAAACTTCCTTCCCCCGTCCTCAGGAGCTGCAGCATGCTAAACCAGCCCTGGGATTGTGGAGGGCTTTGTGAGGGACCAGCAATGAATGGCAGAGGGAGGAGGATACAGAGCAGCTGGGAGCACATGGGGCACTGCTGGGACAAGTGGATTAGAATTATTACAAACAAAGGTCTTTGGTCTAACTTTATACTCCCAACAGGGTTGACCTTAAAGCCACATAAGGTTGTTCATGCCCTTTTCCCTCCTGGGGATTAGTATCCTCATGAATAGGGATCCCTGTCACCTCTCTAACCCTACTGCATGCCTGCCCTCACCCACCCCATTCCCAAACAATGCTCATTCAGTCACAGGATGGCAAAGGCAGCACTAAAATACCCTCTCAAGAGAACTTCAGTTCAAATTTCCTGGGGAGAAACTCCTGCTAGAACTGGAGTTAGATATTTTTGGTGGTCAGGACAAAGGAAGGGGTTATTTCCCTTTATTTAGCATTGGTGAGACCACACCTGGATACTGTTTCCAAGTACATGAAGAGAGGAAGAGAGTGAGAGAGTCCTGCTGAGGGGATGGTTGGGGGCAGAACAAGGGAGTTTCACTTTACCTGGAGAAGAAGGGCTCAGGAGAGAAGTGATTCCCACAGCAATGACCCAGAGCCATTGTGCTGGAGCACCTGCACACCCAGGCCAGCTGCAGGCAGTGCTGCTGGTCCATGTGGGGCTCTGGGCAGCCGGTGCAATGCACACAGGTCTCATTCCTCTCATCCCTGCTCCTGAGATGGAGCCAGGCTGCTGGAGCAGGATTTCACCACAAGGCTGCACAGCCAGCACCGCCTTCCAGGCACTTTGCTCCCTGCCACAGCTCCTCAGGAAAGCAGCCCCACTCTATGTGGGAGCTGCATGGACACAGGAACCCTCTGCTTTCCCACCCCCAGCTTCCAAGAAGGCAGAGGATCCCCCATGATGAGCTCTTCACTGGAGCCATCAGGGCACAGCAGGGCTGCTCCAGTGGCACTTGAAACCTTCTAAGTGCAGAAAGGGCACCCAGATTTCTGCACCTCCAGCCCTTCCTGCAGGCTCTGGGTGAAAAGCCCTCCCACTGGAGTCACCTCCATCCTCAGTGGACAGAATGCCTCCCTGGGATGGAGAGAGGCAGCAGAGCTGCCAGCAGGCTGTAAGGAGACACCGGCCAGCTCAATCCAATGCCTTTTAAGGAGCTGCAGAGGCTGAGGCATCCTGGACCAACCCCCCAGACTTGTGTAGCTCCCAGTCACAGGGTGCACTCACAGACCACACTGGCCATGCCCCACAGCCCCCACAGCAGCTCAGAACTGGGCAGGACAGCCAGGACAGCTGTCTCTCTGCCAGGACTGAGTCTGAAAAACCCCAAACCCCGGATAGCAGAGCAGGGTTCATGCAGTGCCTGCAGCACTCACCCACACAAAATCCCCACAGTGCCATCAATCACCTCAGTGTCCCCCAGCAACCAGCAGGGACAGCTTCTTCCTGGCAGCAGGCAGAAGGGAGGATGATGCTTTTTCACAAAGCCTTCACCAGGACACTGCTAACTCACCCCACCAGTGCCCAAGGACTTTGCTCCACTAACAGAAAAGGTTTTGCTGGTCCAGTAGTGACTTTACTGCTGCCATCCCCACCCAGAGAGCAGAGGGGAAAGGGAATGTGCTGCTAGGGAGTAACAGTAGGATGGAGCTGAGGCTGAAGCACGGATAGAGGAAATGCATGGGCATGGGTATAGGAGCAACAACAGGAACAAGGTGAAAAGGCAAGGATGTATGAAACAGTACAGAGCACCAGAGAAAGGTTCAGCCAAAAAAATAAAGAGGAGCAAGTTGGCCCAAAGACAAGGTGTCAGGAAGACAAACAACAGGAGTGGAGCCAGTCATTCCTCAGAGGAGATCAGGAGCTCTGTGAAATTCAGAGACTTTGCCTAAGATTTCTGAGAGGTGAAGGAAAACAAGAAGGCAAAAGATCCCAAAGAGCACCCTCTTCTACAGGGAGTAACAGGCAAGTCCAAAATCATCATTGCCCACAAAGGCTCTCAAAGACATGGCAAGGACATGACCACCAGCATCCTTTGTCCCCTGTGTCTCAGAGGGGACACTGGCTGACCACCCCAATCTCCGTGTATCCAACGGCGCAGGCAACATCAATTCCCTTAAAGCTCTTGTGTAACAAAATTTCCCTTTCCACTGTTTTGCTACAGTGATCCCCCACTCAGGGGGGATGTGGGCACACAGTCCCAGGAAGCAGGAGACAACCATGCACCGCTTTATTAGGCAGTGGTGCTGCACACATGGCCAAGGCCGGTCACTGTTCACGTTTGGCACAGGATGGCAGTGAGCACTGAGCAGGGGGCACTGAGGGCAGCCTGCCTGGCACTCTGCACGCCTCACTGGCCCCAGGCAGGTCCTGCTCACCCCTGCCAGCCTCCTCACCTCGAGCACAGCTGCTTTGTCTCTCATGGGCAGAGCCAGGCACCCTCACGGAGGTACCTCAAGCCTGCTACCGGATGATTCATCCCCGTACTCGCACACACTGCCCCCCTCCCTGGACTCTCCAAGGTCCCAGCTCCAGTCCTGGCATGCCAAGCTCTGCCAAGGAGGCAGGTGTGGAGGTGTGCACAGCCCCACTCAGCTCCTGGCACAGGGGGTCCTTCCAGTGCCACGCCAGCACAAAACCAGAGCACGGGAGCCCCTGGGAGAGCAGGACGAGGGGCCCAGCTGCAGCAATCCCCGCCAGCAGCGGCTGTGCCCAGCGAGCCGCTCACGGGCCTGGAGCCCATCCTGGGCACGGCAGCGCTCAGCCCTGGGGATGGGCCAGTTTTGGGTGCAGCCAGCCTGGAGCCTGGCTCGTGGGGGTGATCCCTATAGGGTACGGATGGCCACCGGGTACAGCAAGGACATGTGCTCGGCCCCCTTGATGGGCAGCTTGCGGCTGGCGTAGTGATGGATGATCTCGGGCACGCTGTCGAAGGGCGGGCTGTGCTGGCCCAGCACGTACTTGTTCTCCTGGGTCCGTGACAGCTTCATGTGCATGAAGCCCTGGCTGCTCCTGCAAGGACAGAGCAAGGCAGGGTTAGGGGGCAGAGCTGGCCCCAGCCTCCCCTCATCTCCTGACCCCCAGACACAGGCAGCCTGCCCCTGCAGCTGAGGGGACACTGCTGGCTCCTGTCTGCAGCCACAGCTCTGCCTGCACCATCCTGCTCCTGGCTGACTCCAACAAACCCCACAGAGCAAAGGAGGGACACAGCCAGTGATGGTACAGAGTGCCCCTTGGGGAGCATGGCCGTGCAGTGGGGTGTGCAGGGCCCACCCAGGGTGTGTGTGGTAGGGAAGGCATCACCTGGGCAAGAGCAGCAGGGGCACTTGCTGTAGGGTCACGGAAGGGTAGTGGCTTTTGCTCCTTGCCTGTGACAAAGCCCATTTGCAACTGCTCTGGCTCTCACAAGATGCCCTCAGCTCCCAGATCTCCAGCCTCACCGTGGCAAACCAGGTTTTTCTCCTTTGGCCCACAGCCAAAGGATTTTCTCCTTCCCCCTCTCCCCATGCCACTGCTGCAGGCTCCATAAAACCTGCTCAGCACAGCAAGAGCATTTCCCAGCACAGCACGGGCACCGAGCCACGCCAGGCTGTGCAGGCAGACCCTGCCACGAACACTGATTCCAAGTGACGGACTAATGGCCCTGTTGCTATTAATTTGCGTCTCCGAGGAGAGCCACAGCCTGTCTGCAGCGTCTGGATTGCACATTATGGGAAAATATTGATGACTTAAAAGCAGACAGGACCTCATCAGTGATGCTGAGCTGCTTGGAGTGCTGCACAGCCCGGCCCCATCCCCCCAGCTGGAGAGGGACCATAATGGACAGCCCAGCTGCATTAGCAGAATGGCTTTGCAATCCATTTAGAGCCAGGAGCAAGGAGCCAGCTGTCCTGAGAGACAGCCACAGCCCCCCAGCATGGGCTGAGGAAAAGCAATACCTTGGCTGTGTCTTGTGTCCCAGTTGGGAGGGAACAGGAGCGCTGCCACACACAGCCATGGAGAGCTGATACTGGTTGTGCTTAGCCCCAAGTGCTCCACAGGTCTTTGCCTCAAGCTCAGGGATGTGGTGAGATCACACCCCTAGGGACATGACTGAGGGAACAGGACAAGGGCTGGGTGCTGCTCCTACTGAGCACCTCTGCAGGCTCAAGGAAGGACACAAAGCTTTGCAGTGTGGCCTCAGCCACCCTCGTGGAGTCTCCAAGCATCTGAGGCAGTGACATGACCCTGTCCATGACAGGCAGCGTGGGCTGCCTAGCCTGGAGCAGCCAGCACTGTCACAGCAGGGTTAAATCCTTCCAGCTACCTGACCTGCTCCTGGCTGCTCTCTCTTGTGCATATTTTCCTTTAAAGCAACACCAAAGTACTTTAGGTCAGCATTGGAACACTTTTCAGACCATCTCCTTGGCTGTGCCTCCTTCCTCAAGGAAAAAAAAAAGAGTTTAAAAAAAAAATAATAGAGAGAGCTGCAGACAGCCAGCTTAAAGCTATATAAAAAGCATCCCAGGGGATTTTCCTTGAACAGGCTCTACAGAAAAAGGCAGTGGAGTAAAAATCCTGCTGCTGGGGCTGTGGGTTCTCCACAAACTCTGCAAGGACAGGCAATGCCCAAGCAGCTCCCTGATGGGCTGGGGAAGGTGGGACACTGCTGCACACCATGGCCTAGCCACACATGCCCTCTGAGAGGAGGATTTTGCCACAAGACTGAGGATGATGGCAAGAAGTAAGGGAAAAACCACTAAGAAACAGGTGACTGGCTTGTGAAGAGGTGATGCAAAGCCACCTTTGGTGATGGAATGCCACCTCCCAGGCTCTCCAACACACAGCTGGATAAAGCCACTCCCAAGGCAATGGTGAGACCTCTTGCAGCTTCAAATGCAGCTCCCCAGCCAGAAGAAGCTGTTGCTCTAAAATGGCTCACAAGCCAGGGCAAAGAAAAACCACAGAAAATTAAAATATCAGTAAAAATTAAATCATCAGTAAAAATTCTAACCCAAAAAAGGGAAAGGAGGGAGCTATTCCAGAAGGGTTTATTGGCTGATCTGAAAGCTCTAAATGCAGGAGGAAGAAAGTGTATTTTCAGTGGAGCTCCTGCCCTGGTTTGGTGCTGAAGGCAACAAAAAGAGTGAAAAAATGTGAAGAGAGACAGAGCAATTTAATTTACAATTGTGCCACTGGGAAATAAACAGAGAGGCTGAAACCTCTTGGGAGCAATGCAGGTAGAGAGACCACTGGGGAAACTCAAAGTATACTGAGAAAAGCAGAGGGTTAAGGGGCCTGTTATTGGGCAGGGGGATAGCTGAAGTGCTCAATGAATACTTATTTCCCATCTGGCAGGAACAGAGCTAATATAGCTGTCCAGCAGCAGAGCAAGAAGGTATTTACTCATCCATCATCATCTTCAGACAGTAACAGCTTTGATTTTGTGGATTTGTGCTGCCCCAAGAGCCAGGAAAGAGCTGGATGAGGAGCTGTGGGCAGTTCCCCCCTGTCCTGTCAGGACACATGCAGAGATGCTTCATGCAATTTTGGCATCCAGGGAATCTGGAAAACTTGGGGAGAATATAAAGATTCCCCAAAAACCACAAGCAGAAACCAAGCTGTGCTGTGGGGATGAGGTTTCCCTCCTGGCAAAGCAGAGCAGGGCAAAGTCCTCTCTACAGCTGAGAAATGGATCTGTGGGCTGGGGAGGCAAGGATGGGTACCCACGTTCCCATCAACAGTGGCCTCTTACAAACTTTCTTTTCCCATAAAAACTAAGCTACAAAAAGGGGGAACAAGAAAACAGAGCTGGAAGCTGTAAGCAGACACATCTGACTGAGAAGTGAGGCACATCATTTGATCCATCTGAGGGATTATGTGTACTGCCAAGGAAAAGCAGTGGGCCTCCAGATTCTCCTGAGAGATTTTTTTTTTTGCGAGACACCAAACCAGAAACCTGTGCCACACCACACAGAAGTGTGGACTTCATATTGCAGCCACAAGTGGTCATCTCATAGCCAATTAACACAATTCACTTGGGGCACCCACCCAAGGGTCACCTGTGCTGTGTGTTGCCACCCCCCAGGCTGGCAGGCTCACTCACTTCAGGGAGAGGGAGAAGTCGTTCTTGCTGGTCTCGCTGTTGCGCACCAGGTAACTGGCCTCCTTGCACAGCCGCAGCAGCGTCTCCGCGTCCGTCCGGCTGATGGCCCCGTGGTACCAGCTGCAGGGACAGGGCACAGCTGGCAGGGGCTGGGCACAGCTGGCAGGGGCTGGGCACAGCTGGCAGGGGCTGGGCTGGGCACAGGGCACAGCTGGCAGGGGCTGGACTGGGCACAGGGCACAGGGCACAGCTGGCAGGGGCTGGGCTGGGCACAGGGCACAGCTGGCAGGGGCTGGGCACAGGGCACAGCTGGCAGGGGCTGGGCTGGGCACAGGGCACAGCTGGCAGGGGCTGGGCACAGGGCACAGCTGGCAGGGGCTGGGCTGGGCACAGGGCACAGGGCACAGCTGGCAGGGGCTGGGCTGGGCACAGGGCACAGCTGGCAGGGGCTGGGCTGGGCACAGGGCACAGCTGGCAGGGGCTGGGCTGGGCACAGGGCACAGCTGGCAGGGGCTGGGCACAGGGCACAGCTGGCAGGGGCTCTGCTGGGCACAGGGCACACCTGGCAGGGGCTCTGCTGGGCACAGGGCACACACTGTGCCATGGGCTCTGCTGGGCTGGGCACAGGGCACACACCGTGGGAAAGGCTCTGCCCTGGGGCAGCAGCAATGCCAGCACCTCCCCAGGGACTGCAGCCACACGCAGGGAAGGGGGTGGCATCACTGGGGGTGGGAGACAAGGGGCAGGGACAAACAGGCTGAAATGTGAGGCCAAGGAAGAAAGGAAGAAGCAAGTCTGCCCCAGGGATCCTCACGGTGTGGCCACAGGGCTCCCTAGTGCAGTGGGAGGGTCGGGCAGCCGTGCTGGGCAGGCAGGACTCACCACTGGCTCTCCAAGGGCAGGGCAGGGTCAATCCTCTCCCCAACAAAGGGGCCAGGCTCAGCTGTCAGTGTCTTTGTGTTCTTGAGGCTGCTGGAGCCGTGCCTGAGGACAGCCCTGGCCTTCTCCTCCCTGCAGGGCGAGGTGCGGCCGTAGCCCAGCCCCTCCGAGGGACCTGCAAGACAGACAGACAGACAGACATCACAGGCTGGGATCCAGAACTTCCTCTGGCAGGAAGAGCCAGAGCCACTCACATCACCCTGGGTCACCTCACACTGCCCCAAGCCCCTGGTCTAAGCAAGGGCAGGGCAGCTCTTGGGCTCACTGCAGTCCCCAGGCTGGAGCCAGTAGCTGAGCCCATGGAAGACATTTCCACGGAGGTTTCAAAAGCTCAGGAGGTTTTGCTAATGCAAAAATAGATTCAGTGGCTGTGGCACAGGGTTAAGTGAGATACAGCAAGAAGAGGTTCCCCAGTCTCAGAGGAAGAGGGGAGAGATGGAGCTAAAGGAAGCTGTCAGTTTGGAACCAATGGACACATTCTGCTGGCACAAATAAACAGGGGGTGAAAAAGCAATTCCCCGAGGTGGGAAGGGGATATTTTGACTGCAGGTACCTCCCTGACACTGCCACCTGCCTGTCACCAGCCCAGCCACAGCCAGGAGTGCGGGGAATTGACTGAGCCGTGCCCCAGGGCTCCCACTGTCTGTTATTTCCACGCAGGATGATTTCAGCATTAACAATATCAGTTCTCCTTCCTCCCAAGAGTTCATTATTGCTCCCTGTACCACCAATCCCTTTGCACAAATGACTTATTGATCAGCAGAGCTGCCACAGTGTGGGGCTGCCAGGGGCTGACACTGTGGCAGCACAGTCACCCTGGAGGTGGCTGAGCCCAGAAATGCCCTAGGACTACTGGAATGGCCCAGACAGAAAAACTCTCCAGGCTTCCTGGCTGCTGGAGGGGGAGGTAAAAAATAGCCAGAGGGATGTTTTCCTCTCTAGGAGGGCATTCTATAAGGCAGCTCTTTGAGTGCCACCTTTTCCAAGCCCTGTGCAGGTGAGCAGGACTCCAGCCCCCCCAGCACTGCAAGGAGGGGAAGGCAGCCAAAAGCAAACCCAGCCAAAATCCTCTGCAGCTCAGCATGGCATAAACCACCCTGAGCACAGCTCAAGGAGGAGGTGCCTGGCATTATGGCTTGACAAGCCCTGCTTCTGCAGCACTCTGGCTTTTCACCAGCCATGCTCGCCCTTCTACATCACACACAGGCTTCAATTTCAACTCATCACCTTAAAAAATTGGGGCAATCATTAAAAGCCAGGCAATCAAACAGCCCAAGTGTTTGCTGGCGGCACAAAGTCATTGTGTTCCAGGCTCAAAAGAAATGCATTGCACCTGTCAGAGGGAGACAGAGGCAGGTGCATGATTAAACAGGATATTAAAAACAAGCCCTTAGGAGGAAGAAGACATCCTTCAAGATGTTCAAGTCACCCCCAGACATGGGAAATAGAAAATGAGACAAAACTCTGGCAAGATAAACTTAATACAACAAAGCAAGGCAAGTCAGAGAAAAAAAAGAGACTCTGTGTTGCTAAAACCAGGAAAAATGACAAAGTGATGTGTTCATCAGGAGCAGGATGCATGTCAGAGCCACTGTGGGGATAATAAATGAGAGGGGAAAAGAAGAGCCTGCATAACAAAGAGATTAATTTTTCTTGACACCTGCACTCACTGCAGGAAGAGGATCAGAAAATTCCCACCTGCCAAGACCTTTCTTCTTGAGGACTGATCTCAGCCTGCAGCACCCCTCGGGATTTGGGAAACACCCAAGAAAGCCCTGGCAGAGCAGCCACTGCTCTCGAGTGCCCCCACCATCAGCACCAAAATAAGGCATCACCTGCAGCCTGTGCTCAAGCCCACCCAGCAGGCAGCAAAGGCCACACTGGCTTTTATCTTATGAAGCTCTGCAGGGATCTGGGTAGCTGCAGATAAGGAAATCAGACATCTGCAGCTGGCACTGCAGTGAGTGCCCACCCCGACAGTGTCAGTGGCACACAGGCAGGCACAGCACTACACAGGAAAAGGCACAGCCTGCATCCCAGCTCCCCACTGGTAACATCCAGTCATGGCTTTCCACAAACTCCCCCCACCTAATGCTCTTGGCAAAATCCTAATTCACCACAGCATAAGAGCAAGGTCCTTGAAATATTAATAAAGGGTTAAAAGAGAAGCAGCAATATTTGGCTTTCATAAGTGAGACTGCCAGCAGCATCCAAAGGGGATTTACCCAGGGGCTCTGTGCTCAGCACACACAAAAAAGGTTTCACAGCAAGGCAAACCTGAGATGACAAAGTGTACCTGGGAGATTTGGCTGCTCAGGATAGCAAAAGCAAGAGTGGAGAATCCACAGGGACCTCCTGACACTAAGCAGCAAGGTAATAAAACAGCAGAGGAAACAGAGCAGTGCTAAATAATGAAGAGGGGAAAAAACAGCCCCAGCTTCAGCGCTGGGATCTGAATTAGCTGCTAACACACCTGTAAGGGACCCGGGTATTAAAAATCAGTCAATGAAAGAAAACATCAGCTAAATACTCAGTACAGTTGTTGAGAAGATCTTCAAAGCAGTCATGAAATGTTGGGAATTCGGAGGCAAAGAGGAGAGAACAAAAGGGACAGTAACGACTCTGCCATGCTATGGAATAATGCCCCAGAGCAGCTCTGCTGCTGAGAGCAGAGGCACCAAAGAGACAGTGCCTCTGCAGCAGAAAATACAGCAGGACAAACACCTGGGTCCAGCACACGACAGCTGAAGGGGCCAGGAGGAGCTGGGGGAGGGCAGAGGAGGAGCTGGGGGAGGGCAGAGGAGGAGGATCATGTCTGGCACTGCCCAGGGCAAGCCCCAAGGCATCCCAGCAGTGCAGAGTCACAGACACGGCGCTGGCACGCAGGACCCACCATTGGCGTCTTCGTAGCTGTGCTGAGCAGGGAGGGGGGCACCGGGCTCCCCATCCGGGGGGCTCTCACTGCTGTCCAGCTGTCCCACCGGCGGGGGCCATGGCAGGTCTTTAATGACCTTGATTTCAACTGGATGGGGGGTGGGGAGGGTGGGGGAAACAGAGAGAAAGAGAGAGAAAGAAAGGGTTTAGAAAAAACCATCAGCAACACCAGAGGCCCACAGAGAAAGAGAGCAGTTGGGGGGGAAAGACCTGAGGACTAAATTCCCAGGAGCCCTACATCAGCTTGGCCATCTCATCCCCTCCACAGTACCAAGCAGGGACAGGCCTGAGGTGGGGCACATTCCCAATAGAGAGACCCTGCTCCTCCCATCAGTTTTTCCAGCCAACCCTCTCTGGGGTTTGGGGGAGCCTGCAATCACCCCATTCCACATCTTTGTCTGTCTGGGGGTCTTGGCCAAGCATCCCATTGCCATCTGTCCTCCCTGTGCATCTGTCCTGCCATAGGCACCTCCCAGTGACCCACAGGGTCCACAATTCCCTGCCAGGCACCAGTGGGTTGCAGCCTTGTGCCAGTAGCAGCTGCCCATCAGCAGGGGTCTCATGGACCCCCTGAAGGGGGAATGGGCCAGCAGAGATATTTTGGCATCACTGGAGAGAAAAAATACCCCATGAAACACAGCAGGATATGCCCTGGCTTCAGAAAAAAATGGGCAGCAGGTCCCAGCATGGCCCAGGGAACAGCAACCTAACTCCCTTGGGACTCAGAGCAGGCCTGAAGCACCCTGGGCAGCACCCACGTGTATCTACAGGTGAGCCAGACCTGTGAACACACCACCTCCACCCAGGGATATCAAGGAAGGCAGCTCATCCAGAGCACAGACACCTCAGCACAAACCCAGCTCAGCAGAGCACAGTGTTCCATGATGGAGCCTGACACACCAAATCCTCGGCACGGGGTGCTGTGGGACCTGGTACCCCAAGCACAAGTGACACTGTGTGACACTGAGCCCAGCACACACATCTCCAGCTCTCAGTGCCCAAACCCAAAAGGTGAACCTCTCCCCAACCCCAAATTTCCACACGTCTCTCTGCCATCATCTCCACACAGTGCCACCAGCCCGAGCACCCTCAGCAGCAGCTGCAGCACAGACACACAATGCTGCAATTAAAATGCATCCTAGATAAGAGCGCAGCAATTAGGCAGCACCGGCAAGGAGCCAGTGCTAATGCACAGCATGGATTTCCTCATTACCAAACACAAACACAATCGATCCCACAGCATGGATAAATAGGTCAGGGGGGCTGGATGAAGGATCCTTGGCTCTCCTCCTGCCCTGGGGAAGGAGGGATCTGCTTGAGCCCAGGGTTGAACCCCCCCCTGCAGCGCAAGGTTGAGGGTGTTAATGTGCACCAGAGGCTGTGATCGGTCAGAGCATGGGAGAGGCAATGGGAGACAGGGGTTGCACAGGTTACCAAGGCAGATCTGTCCACCACTCTGTCCAGCCTGGCTCCCTGCTCAGAGAAACAGCTTCTGCAAGAGCACAAGACTCCCTGAGCTATGAAAATGCACAGAGCAACATTATTGACCCCCAGCAGATGAAGGAACCCCAAAGATCCAGCTTCACAAAAAGTGTTGTTTGCTTTATGGCTGCTCCCATGGCTCACCTGCAAAGGCTTTGGAGATCCTCTCCTTCTTCCATTCCCAGGGCTGGTCATATTCCTCTGGTGGCCTCTCATCATCCTCGGGCAGCCGGGACTCCCTGGGCCTGGGGCAGGCCGAGCAGTCACTGTCCATGTCCAGCACAGGCTCATAGGGGGTGTCATAGAGGGGCAGCGGCCGTGCGGGAGCCTCCCGCAGGCCCTTCTGGCGGATCTCTGCCCAGAGAGGAGGGAAAAGAGCGTGAGCCTTCTGCCCAACACAGCCATGGCCCCCCCAAAACAGTGCTACATAACAGGGATCAATGTCACCCGTGGTGAAATGGGGTAGGGAGCGTCAGCAGAGCAGCTGCCAGGAGCAGGAGGGCTCAGCAGCACCAGGATGCCCCCAGCCCCACACTCCCACTCCTGGGACGCCTGGCAAAATGGGGTCCATGAAAACAGAGTACCCTGAGCCTGATTTCCTGCAAGCAGTGAGGCTGGGTTTCTCCCCTGGACACCCAGAGTGGTTGGCTTAATAAAATGCCCTTCCCTCAAGCAAAACAAAGTCTCTCCCACAGGCACAAGCAGTCTCTCCATTACTTGCTGGTTTTTCCAAGAAATATAATGGACTACTTCAGAAAGCCACATGAGCTTTCCAGAAACCACTTACTCCAGGAAAACCACAGAGCTGCAAAGCAGAGCCAGAGCCAGCATGGTGACCCTGAGCACTGCCTTCAGGAGCACATGCTCCCAGCTCACCAGCTTTCCAGCCCCAGACAGGCCCACTGGGGGCCCTGCTGCTGCAGCAGACACTGCATGTTCTGGCCCAGTCAGTCCTAACTGAATTAAACAGCTCCCACATCCATCTTAGTTTTAAGCCAGATGCATGGAATGTCAGGTCTCTCCTGACTCAACCTGGCAACTGGGGTCCTGGGGGACAGCATGGCAGGGAGAGATGTGCCTGTAGTGCTCAGACAGTCTTTGCATGCTCCTGCAAACCCAGTGCACAAGGATAAAGCTGGGAAAATTCGCCTGCAAAATGGGTGTGCCCAACCAGAACCATTCACCCAGCTTTGCCTTATGTGGGGGCTGCAAGGAACAGAGTACAGTGGCACCAAACTCAGGGACCAGAGGTGTAAAGAGTGGCCTTTGTGTGACACCTTTCACCTTACCAGCCATCATCTTCTGGGCTTCATAGGGCTCCATATATCCATCATTCTCCATCACCTTCTCCAGCCCTGCCTGGCTGCCTGCCACCTGTGCTGCATCAAAGGGATCTGCATAGTCCTCCAGAACAGCCAGCTGGAACAGGGCAAGAACAGGAAAAGGGTTAAGGCACTCTCTGCCTTTATTGGCAGAGGGCAGAGCCCACCATGAGCTCCACCAGCAGCAGCCAGACTGACCACTGAGAGCCCAAACCCACACTGTGGCAGCCCTGCAGAGCCCTGCAGGCAGCTGACAGCTTTCCAGGCACCAGCACTTGGCTGTGGAAATGCTCCAGCCTTTGTCCTGAAAGCTGAGATGGAGCCAAGCAGAGCAGAAGGCAGCTCTGCCCCTCCCTCACCATCAGGCCCCACCTGGCAGCACCCACACACACGGCCTGGCCTGGCCCCCAGTGCAGCACAGGGCTGCCAGCATTGCTGTGCCCCTCCATGGCACACAGATCTCTCCTGCACACAGCCACACTTCTGCTCCCAAGGTGGGCAAGGGCACAGATCCCAACACTGGGGTGTCAGCTGGCACTGGCACAACTAGGAACTCTCTGCTTATTTTCCAGGGCTCCTGTGCACTCATTTGAAGAGCTTTTCCAACAAAAGGGCTAAGAATAGCCTATGGCTTCCTCTTCACAGCACCCCCAGACACATCCTAAGTAAGACAAGATAGAACCTTCCTCCAGGAAGCCAAAGCAGGAGCTTCTCAAGTGCCAGGGTCACAGGGTCAGCACAAAATTCCTGAGATTTGCACTTATGAATGAAAAGGAGAGGATCCTGCAGTAGGATATGAGGCATGTCCCAGAGCTCAATCCCCTCCAGCACTGGAGCCACATGCCTGCTCTAGCATCTCAGCAGCTTCCCAGTCAGAGCACCCCATCACATGGCCCTGCAGTCCTCAGGAAGCCTGGAGCTGTACATCCACCTCCAGCCCAAAGCCTGCTTCCAAAGTGGGGCCAGACAATATTTGCAGCAGCAATCGAGTGTACCCAAGCACCCACCAGGACACAAACAAAATGGGCTATGCAGATGTCCCACAGCAAGGACCAAATGTCCCAAGCCTGGTGTGGCACCCACTTGGTGCCAGGCTCCATCCTCACCACTATGCTGCCCTGCTCCTGGCCAGCCACGGGGACCACGGCTGCTCACACATTCCTCTGCAGCTCCAATAATCAGCTCAAAACAAAAGATTTCTCCCTCCTTCCTGAGCAAAATGCCCAACAATAGCCTGTGACAGAAAGCCCAGCAGGAAAAGGGAACAGGAACTGGAACTGTAAACAGCTCCATGCAGTCCCAAGACTTGGCATCCCTGTGAGCTACATGAGGCACATGGCTCTCTGTGCCTGGCTCACCAGCTCCTCCCTAAATGTCCCAGCTCCATGGGCAGCCAATGCATGGGGAACAGGGTCAGTTCTGCAAACCTGGTCCCTCCATGCCAGGGCACAAGCACTTGCTTGTGATTATCCCCAGACTGCCCCACAGGAGCAGAACAGGGCTCACACATGGGAGCTGCAGATGCTCTCCCCCTTGGCAAGGTGGCAGAGCACAGATGGTGTCAGAGCACCAGGGCTCAGGAGCAGCCAGCCCCAGCTTTGCAGGGGGAGACAGGCAATCTGCTCCCACCTCCATCATCTGAGGGGTGACAGGCATCACTCAGGCCCCATCAAGCACTGGGGACACGAAGCAGCAGAGCTGAGCCCAGGGGTCTGCAGCCCTTTGCAAGGTGAAATTCCCCAGGGGAAACACAAGTCACTGATGACTTTGACAGCTGCTTGGTCAACCAGGACCTGCTTCCCACTGCTGCCTGAGAGATCTCAGTGAAGCTGCTCCAAACAGCCAGGACATCCCATGGCCTCTCCCATGGCTCTTGCTGCACCTCAACACCTGCAGAGCACAGCCCTGTGACAGCAGCAGCATCCTCACACATGGGCATGCCAGCAGCATCCCTGCACACACAGATGCACCAGCTCAACAGCCAAGGTGGGTGACTGGGCTGTGCCATGTTCAATGCTAACTTCAGCAGAACTCTCGTGGCTCCAAGCATGCTGGGGGCTGTGAAATGCAGTTTGCTGACCCTCCTGGGGTTAGCTGTCTGTTCCTTAGGCCCCATGCCTTGAACCACATTTCCTAGACAGGCACAGGCCTATCTTGCTGCTGGTGCCAGTCCTGGACCCTCCCTCTGCACCATACACACACAGCAGCTTCAGACAGGGCCAGGAGGCTGCCCTGCAGGCAGTGGTCACTGTCATAGAATCATTAAGGTTGGAAAAGACCTCCAAGACCATCAAACCCAACATTATTTCCATATTTCCAAATGTATTTCCTCGTGTTTAGGCCTGGCTTCCCAGAGAAGAATGCACAAGCTCCAGCAGACTCACAGAGTGGCTGGCCCCACACAGATGCTTCCAGGTCTAGAAAGCAGAGATGGTGGAGAATCTAACAGGTTTCTGTCAAGACCCCTAAAACTGGGTATTTTGCCTGCAGAAGTTTGCAGAGGCACTCAGAAGAGATTAGATGGACTTTGTTGGCAGAGGATGTGATTTGCTGGGTTCCGTTTGGACCCAGAGCAAATGGCTCTGGTTAGAGAGAAGCTCCTTGGGTTTGGGGGAATTTGCCACACTGGTTTGCTTCTCCACTGCCTCAAGGATGCCACTTCATAGGAGCAAGGTCTCCCAGCTGTAGGGTAATGAGAACATAAATCCATTGGTTTTTCAAATGGTTGGATATTATAGCAGAGAGCCACAGAAAGGGTGGGAAGGCAATTACTGCCTCCAGGAGCATCATAACCTCGGGATGGACAAGCAAGCCCACGAGAATGGTGCCTCAAGCCCCAAGACTGAGGGGCTGGGGGCTCCAGCCAGTGCCAGGAATGGGGCAAACAGCAGGGATCCTGCAAGTATTGGGCACATCCTAATGCCCTTGCAGATGGGGCCGTATTACGGTTGCCCAGGAAACTGAATCTCTGACATTTCCTAATCTGAGTTCTGGACTTTATGAGCCATGCAGGGCTCTCAGCAGCAGCCACAGGGCAAACTGCTGCTCCCAAGAGAGGGAGGGGCACAGCCCCTGGCAGGGCAGCTCCCAGGGGTGCTCTAAGCCCCCTTCCCCCCAGCTTTGCTCCAAGGCCAGGCATTTCCATGCTTTGCTCATGCTCCACATTGCTGAGGGAGTGCTCACTGCCTGCTGATCCCACCACACAGCTGTGGAGGCATCGCCTGCTCGTACACAGCACAAGCTTTGCTAGATTTGAACTAATTTGGGCGCAAAGCAAAAGCCTGACATGCAAAGCCACCATCCCAGGGCAGCTCTTGGTGCAGACCAGTCCTTCAGGGAGCAGCCAAGCACCACTGGCACCTGGACACATATCCTGCTTGAGCACGAGTGTTTTTCACATGTTTATCTGCCACAGCAATGCACATCCAGACCTCTGCTGCAGCACTGAGGCTGCTCTCACTCTATTATACATGCCAACAATAAGGGGGGAAAAAATCAAAACAAAATTAATGCAAAGAACCAAATCATCACTGGGTCTCACAGTCAAACAGCTTTTATGCTGCCCACCAGTGAAGGTGACAGATCACAGCACTTCAAGAGCATTCACAGGTCAGACACCAAAATTCCAGGGCAGAGCTGGGGTTCTTTGTCCCATCCTGCCCAGAAACATTCTACCTGCCGCCACCTTCTGCCACAACAAGATGCTCCACTCTACACAGAGGTTTGCAGAGGGTTCCTGGGGAGATCCTTCACCTTAAAAACGAGTTTCCTGCCCTGGAGGTAAAGCACATTTGGGGTCTCCTCAGAAGATTGGGTAAATAAATTGCGCAAAGTCCGTCAGGTGCAAAATTCCTCCAGTTTTATACATCTGGCAGCTCGGCTTTTGGCAGACACTGAAGCCAAACCCAAAAGCAAACACAGAGCTGACCTTCCAAGAAGGGTCTGGTGCAGGGCCCACAGGGGACAGCCGGGCTGGGCAGGGAGCCTGGGGCTGCAGCCGTGGCACAGGAGGAGGCACACACAGAGCACAGCATCGGCAGCGCGTAAGATGACTCAGATGGAGGAGCTCTGGCAGGAAGGACACACACCCAGGAGCTTCCTGAGCGGCTGTTCCCACACCCTGCAGCACTGACCCTGCGCTCCCAGCAAGAACAGCAGTGACTGCTCCTGGTGGGCACAGCACAAAGGTGTCCTCAGGCAGGTCCCCGAGCCCACCCTCAAGCATGCCCTGGGTGCAGGCAGGAGCAGGTCCCTCAGTGCATCTCTCCCCAGTGGTGCTGCTTCTTGTGCCTAATCCAAACCCAGCAGGGAAGACACTTCCAGAGTGTCCACCTGGCTCAGGTGAACGGCACAGGGCCAGTCCATTGCCCACTGCTGTGGGAAAAGGCCTGGCACACCAAGCAGACTGAGGAGGACGTGTGCTGTCCACACCATTTCCAGCAGAGTTTGGAAAGCAGCACAAGCCACTGCAGAGCTCGCTCTAATGCATCCCCACAAGATGCTGCAGATCCCACAGAAGGGGCAAAGATGTGACAGATGTGCTACAGCAGCAAAGCATCGTGCAGCCCGGGCAGGAAGGATTCCTGTACCAAGATGTTCCTGTCCTTTCCATTCTCCAGAAGAAACACAACAGCTACAGCAGGCACAGGGTGCCCAGGGAGCATAGTCAGCCCCCAGCCACAACAAACCACATGGTCTCAGCCAAACCACACAATCAGGAACCAGTGTCTGCTCTTTCCACTTGTCTCCATCCTAATCATCCCCACTTGGAAGGGCTGCATATTTTATTAGAGTGATTTTCCCCATCTATCATTAACAAAAACCCTCTCTGCTCCAGCAGCTCTGTCTGTACACAGAATTGTGCTTCTCCTTTAATCTCCAGCATCACCACAACCCAAGGGGTCTGCAGTCTCAGTCCCTGCAGCAGGTAGGGAACAGTGCCCACAGCCTCCTCCTAAGCCTGTGAGCACTGAGCCCCAGGCACAACCATCATCTCAGCTGAGGCTCCAGCCAGCTCCAGTATCCCTTCCCTGTTCCAGGACAGCTTGACACCACCAAGGGCGAGGGTCACAAGCATAAGTAACCCCCAGCAGGCATTTCCATCCTCCTGTACTACCTTCAGGAAGAGCCACCATGATGCTGGAGCAGCAGGGAAACCCTCCCACTGCTCAGCCCAGTGGATGAGAGCTGCAAAGGGCTTTTCAGCCCAACACAGTTGCTCTACATGGTGGATGCTCCCTGGCTCCTCCAGGAAAACTGTATTACTGGACAGCTGCAAGCACTATCAAATATTTCCACTTTTAGTCCGGTTCTGCCCAGGCTCTGGAGCTCTGTGTCCATCACATACCAGAGCCCTAAAGAATTAGACGTCTCCTCCCTACAGTGGCATGCAGGAGACCATCAGTAATCTAATCACTGCCTGTCTTGGAAAAATGAAGGGTCTTCAGCCTAGAGCTGTTTGAGCACAGCTTCCCCGAATGCATCCCAGCTTCTGACTTTTCTCCAAACTTCTCAGATTCTCCCCAGCCTTTGGGTCCCCAAACAGCCTGGGTGTACCTGTCAGCAGTCCCTGCTTCCCACAGCCCTGGCTCAGCCTTTTGCACATCACAGCCTGAGTCCACATGCTCCTGCTCTGATCCTGCAACACACGTTCCAGACAAAAAACCATCCAGACTGCCTCAGCAAACCACAGCACCACGGTGGCACCTCTGGTCCCTACTCCCACTGCCACCCTCCTCATCCCCCTCTGCTGCCTGCAGCCTCAGAAGGGGAGCTCTGCTGGGCCACTCGAGAAATCTCCTAAAAGCAATTAGTCAGTACAGGCAACTTCCCAAGATCCACCAGCAACAAGTTTTTCTGTCTGCTTAAAACATTCCCTAGCAGATTTTTCCCGGTGCTCATTTCATTGTGCCGCCTGGCAGTGCCAGGACCACGGATGGCACCGCTGACTGTATCCGCGATTCCCTCCGCCAGCCAGATCTGCAATCCCGTCGAGTTCGCCTGACAAGCCCCGTCTTGCAGGCGGCAGCGCTAGCGGGCACTAATTACCCCCTCCTGCCTTTATTTGCGCAGTCCCCGCATCAGCCTCTCCTCCGAGAGCGAGGCCCGGCACCAAGGGCCGCAGCCCCGCTTGGGTTTATCCTCCCCCAGGTCCCGGTGCCACTCCGAGCCCGTCTCCCCATGGGGAGCTTCTGCCCAGCTCCTGCCTCTCACCGGGGAGGTTTCTCGCCTCCCTGGCAGCTCCAGGCTCTGCTCTCAAGCCTGGAGAAGCCGGCGGGGGGTTGCGGCAGACAAAGAGGCGCTGAGGCTCCCTGACAAAGCAGCACGGCATCTCTGGGGGTCCGGCCGCCGCCGCTGGCACGGGCAGCCCGGGCAGGCGGGCAGGGGAGATCCATCAGGCACGGAGCGGTGCGAGGCCCAGGGTCAGCGGCCCCAGCCTCGGAGGGCACCGCAGACAGTGCTGTGCTCCTCCGCGAGCGCTTCCCGCTGGGGATCGTACCTGCCTCGCACGGGAGCCGCAGGAGAAGCCGGGGCCGCCTCCGTTCCCGCTGACGTGTGCCCGGCATGTCGGTGCTGCCGGGGCACAGGGGAACGCGACACGGGAGCCCCGTGGAGCCTGGCCGGGCCCCCCCTCGGAGCTCGAGGATCCCAACCCTGCTCCTTAGTGCGGATGCCAAGAGTCTGGCGGGACCACCGAGGCCATCTCCGTGACCGAGGGGCTCAGGCTCCACCTGCCCCGAGGGTCCCGGTCCTGCTCCTCACGGCAGGGGCCGAGGCTGCGGGCGGTCACTCGGGACACCGCAAGTGGCGGGATACCGCGGGGAGAGCACCGGGGCCCCGTGTCCAGGCACTCACCTCCTGCGGCGGCTCGTCGGGCGGTTCGGGACCGGCCGGGGGCGAGCTGGGGGCGGCCGGCACCGGCGGCGGCGGCGAGGGGCTGGCGGGCACCTTTTCCACCGCCTCCACCTTGATGAGCCGGTGCTTGGGCGAGACGTAGCGGGGCCCGTCGGGGGCGGCGGCGGGCGGCGGGCCGCTGTAGGGGTCCTCGAAGTCGCGCTCCTTCTGCAGCCGGTAGGCCGCCACGATGTCGGGCTGGGCGGCGGCCAGCGGCTCGGCCGCGCCCCCGGGCGGCAGGGGCGGCTGAGGCGGCGGCCCGGCGCGGTAGTCGGGCTTGGGCGGCGCGGGCGGCGCGGGCCGGGCGCTGCGGAAGCCCAGGTGCTCGCGGAGCCAGCGGGCCATGGTGCCCACGCACTGCGGGGCCCCGCCGGCCCCCGCCCCGCCGCTGCAGCCGCCGCGCTCCGAGCCGGCCGCTCCGCTCAGCAGCATCGGCGCCGGCGGACTAGAGCGCGGCGGCGGAGCTCGGGGGGGGCGCGGGGGAGGCGGCCAGTGCCACCTGCCGGAGCGCCGGCTGCGGGGCCTCCCCCGCCCCGCCCGCCCGCCCGCCCGCACCGCGGCCCCGCGCCCGCTCCCCCCGGCGCGGCCCTCAGCGCGGCCCGGCCTCCCCGGCCCGCCTCCCCCGGGGCCCGCCCCGCTCCCCGCCGCCTTCCGCCGCGCCCGGCCCTCCTCGGCGCTCCGGGCCGCCCCCCGCTCCCGGGCGGCTGAGGGCTGGCGGCTCGCTCCCGGCGGCCCCGGGCCCCATCCGGCCCCCGGGCGTCCTTCGGCTCCAGGGGAAAGGCCCCCGAGGAGCAGGGCGGTAAAAGGGTCCCTCACGGGATCACAGAACGTGCTGAGCTGGAAGGAGCCCACGAGGGTCGTGCAGTCCAGCCGCTCGGTGCTGCCTGGGAGGTGTGTGGTGGGAGCAGCCCCGTGCGGGACCCCCGGAGCAGCTGAGTCCAGGGAAACACTGAAACACGAGGCTGGCCTGTGGACTGCCACAAGAAACACTGCGGGAAGGGGTGAGCAGGGACCAGGCAGGGAAGTGCTTGGGAAGAACGCTGAGTTCAGGCTGGATGTACAGAGACATTGGAGTGTGAGTGCAGGGCTGATCCCCAGCACGGGGGCTGGAGGATATCCCCTGGGATGCAGTGGGAATGTGGCACTGGGAGCAGAGCCCGAGGCCGTTGTAGCAACAAAAAACATGCTAACACACATTCTGAGTGCTCCCCCTGGACACAGCCATCACCAGCCGGCAGCTCACCCACCACTGAGACATCTCCCCATCCTCTCCAATGCCCCAGCAGCCCAGTCTCCAGACCTATGCCCTCAAATCCTTCCCATCCCTTCCTAAATACACACCATCACCCAAACCTGCTTCCAGGTTCACAAGCTGAATCCCCCGAAGGCCATGAAGAAAGAAAAGGGCCAGGTGCTCCAAGAGCAGGATACCCACAGAGGTCCCACTGCAAGCTGTGAAGCTCACAGGAAGCGGGGGCAGGTGCCACAGTGTGTCCCTGTGTATCCTCACACCATGAGCCGTGGTCCTGCACAGTGTGGGGACAGATGCTGGCATCTTGCTCTCAGGGTGCCTAGCTGGGGAGAGAAGTATCTCATGGTGACCTCCTTCCTACCAGCCCTGTGCAGGAGGGACAGGGAGGATGGGGCTGCCAAGGAACTGAGCTTCCTGTGCCAGCCTGGCATGGTACATGCCCAACATGTGCCCAGAGAGCCCACTGAGTCCCACATTTCCTGCTTCCTTGAGCACACTCCTGCTTGAGAAACCCATCCAAATTTTCCAGATTTGCCAGGTCCAACTGGACACCATGGGAGCTTCCTCCAAAGGGAGAAGAAAGCCATGAAACCCAGAAAACAGCACTGGAAATTTCAAAGCATGGGGATTGCAAGATGCAAAAGGCAGCAGGAGAAAAAGCACTTTGAGGAACAAAGTGATCACCAGGCAGTGTTTGCAGCAGTCTAGCAGCAGACCTCGTTCCCAGGCTCTCAGATGGAGATGAAGAGACTTATTAAAATGCAGAAAAGGCAGAGATTCTCAATAAATTTGCCTGTCCAGCATTTGGAAGGAAGCAGGGCTAATGGCACTTGAGATTGAAAGCACTTCCACCGTCTATTAGTAACCAAGGAGGATGTTCAGCAACAGCTGTTGGAGATGGCTCTTGTTAAATCCTCAGGCCTGGAAAACACACGCTCAGTGTCTCCAGAGAGGGGACTGAGGAGGGATCTAGCTTTGTGGTGGTGTTTGGTTTTTTTAAATACTACCATATTAGAGGAATTGCATAGGTTCTTCCTTCTTATCCAGTCCTGGCACATCCTTCACATTGCTCCCTCCTTGGAGAGGCAGCTGTGCCAGGGCCACGCTGGGGTTTGACAAAGGTCTGTGGTCCATGCCCATGCAGCACCCCAGCACCTCCTCACCATTTGCTGGGCCTGTTTCTCCTCCAGGCTGGCCCAATGTAGCCCTGTTCCCTGATCTGTGCCTCTGAGGGATCACCTTCTCACCTCAGGCTTCAGCAGAGCTAGGAGGGGCATCAAAGTCCCTGGACTCAGCCGAGCCCTCAGATTTGAGCTTCCCCTGGATGTTGGCTTCCCCTTGGCCAAACCACCCAGGCAGCAGCACAGGCAGCAGGTGGAGAGAGCACAGCTGAGGTGAGAGCCCCCAGAGACTCCTCTGTGCTTGGGGAGCTTTAAGGAGCTCCAGAAGGAGACCAAATGACCTTGCCACCTGCAAGGCCTGGCACAGGCTGCTCATATTCTATTCTGCAGTCACGACGAGAGGCTGGTGACATCGCTCTGTTCACAGTGGCTCACTTCAGGTTTGGAGGAGCAGTGGCAGATTTCTACATTCTCCTGCCAAAGCCAGAATCTGTCTGCAGCTCGTGCTGCAGCTGGTGCTGCTCCAATCCCAAGTGTTTGCCCTCTCCCTACCTTATTGCTGTCGGGACCCAGGTTTGATGGCTGCACTGCAGAGACTGACCCCAGCACCACAGTGGTGGCTGTGATGCCACTCTGCTTGGGGGTCACTGTGACAGATGGCTGTCATGGGGTGCTCTAGGGACTGGCAGATGGGAGAGGATGGGGGAGCACAGGCTGCACCGCTTGCATGCCAGACTCCACGTTTTAGCTTCTCTCTCATGCATCCCCATGTAGGATGTGCAGCCCTGGGGGCTGCCTGCTGCTGGCACTGCCCACAGCCCATGGAGCCCCCAGGAAGGAGGGAAGGATGGCTATGAAGCTGCACACAGTCCTCAGGTAGGAATATAACAACCCATGGCTGTGCAGAAGTGATTTGTGGTTCACTCTGAGGGACCATGGGAACAGGGGAGGCAGAAGGGCTTCCTGCAGTTGTGTGCAAAGATGCAGGGCTGGTCCTCTGCACTGGAATCTGCTCCCACCCTGTTCTCCACCTCTGAAGAGTCCAGGAGCTCTTTGCTGAGATCTCCAGGCTGGTGCTGACAGCATTGCCCTTCCTCTTACCAAAGGAGCTCCTTGCCTGGGTAAATCCAGACAGGTCAGAGCATGCACCAGGAAGAAAAATCCAGGTAATGTCTTCCGGGCTGCTGCTAGCCCAGCAGAGAGCTGTGTGCATCCTCATCCATCCTCCAGGGCCTGAGGAGCTGCTTCTGCTGCCTGAAGTGGTCGTGGTGCTCACGCCCAGCTGGGGACAGGAGCCCTGTTTGGCAGCTGGGCCAAGAGCAGCACACAGCAGCTTCCACAGCTGGGCTGAGGAGGGATGGTGCCATGGATCATGGCAAAGCTTCCCCTCTGCTTTATCCTGGGCTGGTGCGGACACAGCGCAGCGTCCCCCAGGCAGGCAGCAGCAGCTTCCTGTGACTCAGAGTCCCTGCCCCTGCACACTCCCGGCTGACTCACCCCAGGTAATGTGGGGGCTGAGGCTCACACTTGCCCACGTGTCACTTGAGTCAGGTGCTGGGTCCACTCCTTCCCCTGATGCCAGCATCGACCCTGGCTTGCAGGGAAGCTCCTGGAATCTCCAGCTGCTTCTTCCACAGCTTCAAACAAAAGCCATTTGCAGGAGATTTGGAGTGGATATGTGCCTGCTCCTTTCCTCCCCAGGAGCAACCCACATCCACCCCCTTGTGCAGCACAGCAGGGACCAAGAGAATGTCACATCTGCTGGGTGACAGCCGAACCATCTCCGGGCCCTGGGTACAGCAGGGGACGTGAGGACTGGAAGGTGGCAACTGTGGCACCAGAATTGCTTCCTGGGAGGCAGCCAGGGAGTCCCAGGCTGATAAATGACACATCTGTTCTCTGCAAATGAACAAAAATTGGCATACGGAGGAGGAAACTGGCATCGTTAGGGAACAGATGGATAAATATGACATATTGGGGAAGAGTTGATACAGCTCTCTTGCAGTGAATTTCTCTTTTCCACAGCTAGTGCTTTCTTGGAAAAAGCCAGCAGGCCCCTGAGGTGATCCAGCAGAAGTCCCTGCATTTCCACACGCAGATCTTTTGACAAGATGAGGTCAACGGCAGAATCTGCAATAATATTGAATTATTCTGGAAATTGTGGATGCATGGTAAGCATTGCAGTAGGACTTTGAGAGGCTTAGGAAGCTGACAATAAAATGAGACAAAAGCCAGTGTTAGGGAAGTGACACACATGGGGAAACCAAGCCCAGGCTCTTGTCCACAGTGATGGGTTCTGAGACTGGGAGCTCTGACAGTCTGTGAAACTGTCCCCTCAGCAAAAGTCAAAACCTCAAAGACTCTCTGTCAAGCTGATAGGAAGGATCAGGAAAAAGGAGAGATGAAATCAGAGATATCACTATTCCCTAGCCAGTACCAGTCTACATGCATTTCTGGTCCCCCTGTTCCAAGGATACAGCAGAGCTGGAAAATGTGCACAGAAGGGCAGCAGGAGGATCCAAGGTCTCTGCACATGGGGTCCCTGAAGGACCAGGGCTCTTTGGCACAGGAAGGAGACAGCTGGGATCACAGAGCAGAGATCTGCATAGCAGGGGGAGGTGGGAGAGGCTGAAATAACAGTGATAACACAAGGAGGAGACTCAGCACACAGGGGCCCTCTCTGCCAGGGGCTGCTGCAGATGCTACGTGGTTTAGGAACAAGAGCACACAAATCCACAGAAAAAAAATCCATAAATACATATTAAATACAAGGACTAGCACAAAGGAGACTTGTGAGATTTTAGAGGCAGGGATGGTGTCCAGGGGAAGTGTTGCTACACATTTGCACCAGGAGACCATCAAAGCCTGGGCAGGATATGCACAAAGCATGTGTCTTTACCAAATGGAGCAAATTTCTGCAGGCACTTTTTGCAGCTTTCCAGCCTTTCTATGATGCAGTTGATAGTATAATTGAGGCAATGCTAATTGACCAAAAGAAGAGATGACAACTTGCTGAAAGACATCTGCCAGCTTGGAGCCAGATC